TGCAAAGGGTGGGCCAACTCAATATTGAACCCTACGGGCTAAGACTGGAATGCCATTAAAGTTCACGTACGTGTAAAGGCAGGCATCCAAATACTTTTGGCAATATAGTGTATCTTCAATGAGACACTGATGGCAAATTTTTGAGGATGACATCCCATGTCTTCTGGGAAGATTATGGAAAGCTAAAGATTCTAAATCTCATAAGAAAATGACCCAACACTGTGCAGGAGTGTGTTCTAGCAAGATTTCAACACCAATAAAAAAAACTCATGGTGTGATGAAGTCACCGCTGTAGCTCCACCAGAGCGCTTGATGCTGTACATGATATGCTGTGATTCTTCTTTCTTATGTGAGTAGATGCCTGCTTTTTAATAAACTTGCTTTTAACACTGCACCATGAGCAATTCCCTTCCTTTTGCATGTGGTTCTCTGGAGTGATTGATTCTAGAATTATGCCAGTCTGACTTTGTTTATGATGCCAGCTTAAGGAAAAAGAAGCGGTATTATTGGTGGAGGCTTATTTGCCACACTTCTATCTATGACCTAGCTGGCTGATTGAGACCGGAGGAGATTGCTGATTCATCCATTCATCCTTCCTTAGGGAGTGATCTCTGCATAAAACACTGTTAGACCTTCTGTGTACAGAGGTGTAAGCTTCCAGGCTTCCGGCTTTGATATCCTTCTTGGTGGTGCTCTCGATGGTGAGGACTGGAGGCACAGGTTCATTGCAGCTGTAGTCAGTGCAGAAGAGAGCATTCAGTTTCACACAGAACTTTGGTTAGCACTATACCTGGTTTCTTTACGAACTTTTTAATGAACTTTTGGGTTATTTATTTCACATTATTTATTAGGTTGCACTTTATGAATTGTGTATGGTTTGTGGCTGTTCTGTATACATACGCACTTTAATAAGTTATGTAAGATTCTGTATTATTCATTATCCTTTGGCAGCGCAACACATATATTTTATGGCCCAAACTATATTATTGGTGTCAGGCACATGAGGAAGAGCACTGAAGGCTGCCACAGAACTGTTAGTAGATAGTAACTTGGAGAGTCCTTATACAGAAGGAATATATCCCTTGCACTTGGGATCAGTGGTGGAACAACCAGGGTTGCAAAGGTTGCACTTGCAAGCAGGCCCTGGTGTTCCACCACTGTGGGAGGGCCCCAAGAGCTCGGACTGTGGATCCCCAGTAGGGTTGCTGTCTGCAGTGCTCTGAGCTGAGAGTGTCTCTCACACTGCCCAGAGCCAACACTGACAGTTTCCACCTCCCTTGCATGGATGGGAGAGATGAGACAGAGCTATATCTGCTCCTCCTCCCCCTTCCCCTCTTCTCCTGTGTCTGCCCCGGCCACAGTTCTATCCTTGGCAGTGCTGTGCCTCAGAAAACGGGATATATTGGTGGGAGGTTTGAAGCCCAGCAGCTTGATGATGAAAGGTGCTGACTACCGATGCCTGAGCCTCCATCCTGGAGTGAGTGAACTCACCATCCATCCACTGTGACTGAAGTCTCCCCACTGCCTTCTCTCTCTCCTGCCTACAACTGAGTACACTATTGAAGGAGGGACTCAGATGTAAGGGGTGCTCTGTGGACTCTGATGTAAGGGGAGCTTTGGTGAGCAGAGACTCCCCCACTTACATTAGAGTTCCCATTTGCACCAGAGTCCAAAGCTTTCCGTCTTACATCAGCCCCACCTTCCCACCCCTTTTCAAATCAAGGTTGCTAGAGCACTACTTACATCGAAGTTCCCCTTTTCATTAGAATGAACAGAGCTCCCCCTTACAACATAAGTGGAAATTCATCAAAGTTAGATGTAAAGGAGAACTCTGTGCATTCTGATATGAGGGGGGCGCTGCAGACTCTGATATAAGGAGGTCTCTGCGGACTCTGATGTAAGGGGGCTCTGTGGACTCTGATGTAAGGGGGGCTCTGCAGACTCTGATTTGGGGGCTCTGTGGACTTTGATGTAAAGGGGGCTCTGTAAACTCTGATGTATGGGAGAACAACTTTGTGGATTCTGATGTAAGGAGGGCTCTAGGAACCCTGATTAAAGGGAAATGCTGGGAACTCTGATGTAAGTAGGGGCTCTGGTTCCCAGGGACCCCCTTATATCAGAGTTCCTGTTTACACCAGAGTCTGCAGCATTCTTCCTTACATCAGACTTCCCTCTGTACATCAGAGTTCTGTGTTCCCCCTTAAATCAGTCCCCAGAGTTTTCCCTTACGTCAGAGTCTGCAGAGTCCTCCCTTACAGTGTAAAGGAACTCTGTGAGTTCAGATGTAAGGGGAACTCTGCAGATACACATGCAAAGGTGAACTCTACAGATTCAGATGTACAGGGGAATGCTACAGATTCAGATGTAAAGGGGAACGCTCCAAAATCATATTAAGGAGAAAGTCCGTTGATTCAAATGTAAAGGGGAACTCTGTGGATTCAGATGTTAAGGGAGAACTCTTGTGATTAAATACATATCATAAGAAATGTTATTTAATTACAAAATATATGTATAGTGTATGCTAAAATAAATTGTCTTGCGCTGTTAAAGTGTGTGGGTTTGGCTTGAAGAAAAGATGGCAGCTCTACCCAAGATGGCAAGAAGGGGGCCCACGGCAAAACATGTGCAAGGGTCCCGCTGTGGGACCGTAATAAAGGGCCCCAAAATGGGAGTAAAGAGCCCCGGGATCAATGGGAAGGGCCCCATGCTCAAAGGGAAGGGGGGGTCAGGGGACCCTTCATGGTTTTTTGCAAGGTTTTAGTTACACCTCTGCCTGGGAAACAACATATTGCACTGCTTGACAGAGACAACTTAGTTGAGAACACCAGGTAAAAACCTGAAGATGAAATTGCTGAAGGTGACCAGGTTACTGTAGGTAGCAGAAAGAACTAATCGAGGTGGAATATGACTCTTGCCAACAGAAGCAATAATGGGAAAATTCTGCCTCATGCGTATGAGAACAACGGCACCCAAGAGCTCTAATAATATATATAATATATAATATAATATTATAATATCTCCCAATGCCTGGCTCACATGGTCTATTTGTAAATGGGCCTTCAAAGAATCACAGCAGAGGTTTTGCAATGGCTCTTGACCTGTAAAAAGCTCTGTGGTAGGTGCAAAAAGCAGAGTCCAGTGTCTGAAGGTAACATTCCAGGCAGGCCTCTCTCTGATCCAGTCCAGAGGGGTCCAGGTACATCCTCCAAAGCTACTGCTGAGGATACACAGATCTGGATAGCTGCACAACAACACCAGCTCATGCTACATATAGGAAGTCTTGAATTAAGTCTTGATCCTGTAGGCAGCAGTATGTAGGCAGGTTGCCTACATTAGTTAACAGTGACTGTCCCAGGAAGGGGTAGGGGTTAAATTATTCCTGCACTGTTTCCTAGGCTTTTCAAACCCAGCCTACCTGCCCTGTGATGCATATAAAGGGGGGGAGGCAGGATACCAGGAGCTGTCCATCAGTTCTGGATTCTGAAGATGCTGTGACAACATACTGCAGAGAGGAACTACTGAGCCCTGCTGAGGACACCAGCTTACCAGAGAACTGCCAAACTATGGACTTTCACCAGTTATGGACTCTCACCTTTTCAGGGTATGCCTGGGCAGCCACAATCTAAACTAGTTAGTTAGGGACTAGATGCACTGGACTGTGTTGTTCGTGTTATGTGCACAAGGGTTAATGGCAACTAAAAGTACTTGGGTCAGGTGGGGTATGACGCAAGTCCATAACTCAGCATCAGGTTGGAAGGAAGTAAGCAGCTAACAAGGGTAACCAAGGACTGGTATAAAGTGAATAGAAGCATGTCATGAAGCATGGTACCTGGGCAAGGTGAGGTGTCCTCTTGTAACAAGGGGGTCTTTGCCCTGACTCCCTCTCTAGTCGTTGGTTTCCCACAGCAACCGGAACCGGAATTGCAAGACAAAGTTAATGAAGTGCACGCATGAGGTACGCACAGGTGCATGCCAGGACCCCATTTTTCAACTGGGAGTGAGGTGGCAGCAGTTCACAGTCATGGTGTGCAGTGACATTGGATAGCATGTTTCACTGGGATTCAGAACAGACATCCATTGCATGTAGTGCACAGCTTATGCCTAAGTCGGGATGCAGCTTGAACACAATGCTCTTGGGGCATTGATGAGCACGTTCACGTCAAGGTACCCTATGTGCAGGGTGAGTGCCCCCACCCACTGCCTGGCATAGCCAAAGAATCCCTGTGGGCTTATAGTTCACATACTTGACTAGCATAGACCATCTCCCCATGCACACAACTATAAACCAATTGTCTCTGAATTCTGTGTCTCTGTCCCTTAAAGAAACATATTTTATTGTTGCTCCTCTCCCTCCTGACGTAAGTGCTGTCTACTGTTTCTTGCCTCCTCCTGTATGTGTCTATAACAATGAAGAAAACTGTATACAGTAATATATATATATATACACACACACTATATTGCCAAAAGTATTGGGACGCCCACCTTTACATGCACATGAACTTTAATGGCATCCCAGTCTGAGGTGGCCCACCCTTTGCAGCTATAACAGCTTCTACTCTTCTGGCAAGGTTGTCCACAAGGTTTAGGAGTGTGTCTATGTGACTGTTTGACCATTCTTCCAGAAGCGCATTTGTGAAGTCAGGCACTGATGTCGGACGAGAAGGCTTGGCTCGCAGTCTCCACACTCGCAGTCTCCACACTAATTCACCTCAAAGGTGTTCTATTGGGTTGAGGTCAGGACTCTGTGAAGTCCAGTCAAGTTCCCCCACCCCAAACTCGCTCATCCATCTCTTTATGGACCTTGCTTTGCGCACTGGTGTGCAGTCATATTGGAACAGGAAGGGGTCATCCCCAAACTGTTCCCACAAAGTTGGGAGCATGAAATTGTCCAAAATGTCTTGATATGCTGTTGCCTTAAGAGTTGCTTTCACTGGAGCTAAGGGGCCAAGCACAACCCGTGAAAAAAAAATACAACACCATAATCCTCCCTCCACCAAATTTTACACTTGGCACAATGTAGTCAGGCAAGTACCGTTCTCCTGGCAACCCAAACCCAGACATGTCCATCGGATTTCCAGACATCTCCATTGCTCTAGAGTCCAGTGGTGGCGTGTTTTACACCACAGCATCTGACGCTTTGCATTGCACTTGGTGATGTAAGGCTTGGATGCAGCTGCTCTGCCATCGAAACCCATTCCATGAATCTCTATATGCACTGTTGTTGTGCTAATCTGAAGGCCACATGATGTTTGAAGGTCTTTAGCTATTGACTCTTCAGACAGTTGGAGACTTCTGTGCACTGTGTGCTTCAGCACGCGCTGCCCCGCTCTGCCGTTTTACGTGGCCTACCACTTTTTGTGTTGCCGTTGTTCGCAGTTGCTTCCACTTTGTTACAATACCACTAACAGCTGACCGTGGAATATTTAGTAGCAAGGAAATTTCATGGATGGACTTGTTGCACAGGTGGCAACCTATCACGGTACCACGCTTGAATTCACTGATCTCCTGAGCGACCCATTCTTTCACAAATGTTTGTAGAAGCAGTCTGCATGCCTAGGTGCTTGATTTTATACACCTGAGGCCATGGAGGTGATTGCAACATCTGAATCCAATGATTTGGAGGGGTGTCCCAATACTTTTGGCAATATACTGTATATATATATATGTATATATATATATATGCACAAAAAATAATGAATAATACCCTTTGTGTTTTTAATATGTGTGTCACATCTATTTGTTGTCTATCGCCAGGCAAATGTAACATTCCCTAGCATTCGATCCTAGCAGAAAAATAGTCATAAGAACATTTAACCATAAGAGTTAAAAAACATAATAGACCAATAGATAAAATATCCTAACATTCGCTATGCTATTCTGGGGATTCTGAAATATGTAAACAAAGGAATAAAAAAAAACAAAAAAAAACATGTGGGGTCCCACCTAAAAAATTCATATCAGTCCTTTCGAATATGAAATGGATTTTAAGAGGGACTCCACACAATAAAAAGTGCATAGGAGAGTGGTATTTGGGGCCCCTCCTATTGTTCAAAGAGACTTCCAGATTCCTATAAGACCCCCCCCCCCCCCACAGACCCCCTGCAACCATCAGGTCAGTGTTGTGAAAGAGGCCTCTGTACTCACCCCCTGTGAAAATTATTCTTCATACTGAGGACATGTGGCCTGGTATAGTTCAGCCAGCCTGATTGGATAAGGATCTGGTATCATGCACATTTTGGGGGGACCCTATGCTTTTTTCTTGTTTTTTATGCATGGAGTTCCCCCTGAAAATCCATACCAGTTCCACAAGATCACCCCAAGCCATCATTTAGATTGGTTCTCTGAAAAATCTGTACCAAACCTGAAGGCCCTAGTATGAATTTTTTTTATTTGGGGGAGGGTCCTCGCACACTTTTCACACTTTGTTTACATTCACCTGTCATCTAGGAATAACCCGTTAACAGCTGAATGAGCTGGGCAGGAATGAATCACTGGTTGTTAGGATGCTGGTGGGTGCCAGTTCCCTAACATCCAGGAGCTTTTACATTTAACAGTGGTAGAAATACCGTTGCTAAATGTTTTAGTTCCTGCTGCACCTGGAGATTCATCCTGCACAGGCACCAATTTGTTTGGTCACTCTCTGAACCTCCCAAACAGTGGAGGAATCTGCAAAACAAATCTACAAACAATGCAAACACCTCATATTGTTTCCCCGTCTGGTCGAATGTTCTTAGACTATAGGGTTGGGCTCTTCTTTCTATTGGACAAAAAGTTCTTTAAGTCATGTTTTGAAGCCTTCTTTTTTCTCTTAGGATTCAATATATATTAGGAAACATTACAATCGACTTGTGAAAGGCCATAAACACTGACATTTTACACATATTACAAACATTACAGGTATTATTCGTGACTTTGATGCAAATGAAATTAAACATTCACAAAACAAAGTTTTTATACAAGTTACACGACTTTCAAAAAGTGTTAGTTTTTAACATGTTTGTACACAGTTCTTTGAGCTGATAAGGAACTTTTTATAGAAATATAAACGAGCAGAACCTTGCTTCTACAGAAATTAAGATGCAGTTTAAATATAAATGGAACAAAAGTATAAAGCAACCTAAGTGATCATTAGGCAGAGGAAGAATGCCATCTAATGAATAGGTGTAATATGGAGCTCTGGGTTGCCTCACATGCTTGTGATGCCTATTTTTACTCATTGTCATTTAACCTGAGAATCCTCTGGGTGACAGTTAAGGAAACAGATGCTGGGAATCGCTGTCCCCAGTTCCTGGGAGGAGATGTGACTCACACATTAAGCCCAGTTTGTCCTTTGTACTTGCACATGTAAAGGCTGGTGAATAATGCGGGATTGCTGCCTGTTTTCCAGTCTCTCGCAGCCTATTTCCTCCCAGCTTGTTCACAACTTTAGAGCTGCAGTCTGGGCATTTCTTTTGTTGTTTTTGGAAAGGCAGATCATATGTAATTTATAATAAGTAATTGTACCAGCTTGATTTCGCCAGTTGATAAAGTGTATCTAAACTAAGTGTTGATAGTTTGGAAGGGTTAGTACCTCTTTTCATTGCTGATACCCATTGTCATCAGACCTCAAAGTTCCAGAAAATCTTTTATAGGGAACATCTTCCAATGGGCACGTGTTTTCTGGTGACAGCTGTCTAAGCGGGGGATTTCCCTTGCTTTGGATAGATTTCCTCCCACTGCTTCTATAAGGGCTCATGTACATGGGGCGTTTGGAAAACTCTTCTGAACAATGGAAACTGACTGCTGGAAAATGTAGGTTAAAAAATGTCAGTTTATGTGCATTTGCATTTAGAAGCATGTTTAAAAGATAACCTCAGGAGACCTTCTCAAATGCCCAGAATGCACTGAAAAATAGTAAAAAATTAACTATTTCAGACATTTTGAGAGAAATAGAGAGAGTAGAAGCAGAGAGAGCAGTATATGTTGAGAATACCTGTCTTTTTTGGTTGTATTCACTATGGATCCCATCATGAGCATAATGTGGCACGTTCTACCATTTTTTCCTTCATGCAAAACCTGGAACTGACTGTGCTGGTGTACTGGGTCCATTTGACTGCATGGAAAATGCTTTGCATGCATTTCTGATGATGAAAAAAGGCTCTGGACAGCACCTGGATATGAAACAGTTAAAAAACACTCCTAAACACAAACGCTTACAAACGAGGTTAACCGCGTTTACAAGCATTTACACGCATTTGAAACGATGGTACAATTTACTCCTGAACGCAAGTTTGGTGAGTTCAAAAAACGACTGTAAATTCAACTGCCTGTAAACGACTATGTGTAATGGACACATAGGAAAACATAAGGGAGAGTTCACACATTAGGCCGGTTCACACCTGAATTGCACAGGAATACACTCTGCGTTCCTGTGCAATTCAGTACGGTGCGTTTTTTCAGCCTATCCATTTAAATGGGCTGAAATCGCACTGTATCACACAAAAAGTGTATAGTCCAAATGCACACATTCCTGGTTGTGAAAAATGGCTGTTTGTATAAGTGGGTGCTGCAGCGACCGTCGACTGGAACCAAACAAAATCAGCAAGGAAAAATTTTACCAGCACACCAAGGATCACCAATATGGGTCCAAAGGTTTTAATGAACGATCACATAGTTACAGCAAGGAAACGTTTCAGAGTCTCACAGGACCCCTTCATCAGGCATGTGACATGTCACATGCCTGATGAAGGGGTCCTGTGAGACTCCGAAACGTTGCCTTGCTGTATCACACAAAAAAGTCATGCATACACTACTTTTCAAAAACACACCACCAACTCACATGATACTGCAATACCATGCGATCTGGTGCAGGAAAACACTCTGCGTTTGCGATCTACATTTGGGGTGCCATTAACAATGTATTGGCACCTGCAAGAGATCAGAAAGGCAAGGCTTTTTGAAAGCAGTGCAAAAAACAAACACAGAATGTGCCTTTCCCATGCCCATGAAAATTGCAGTGCTTTCCTCCCTGCAAAAGTGCATAAACCGTACGTTCATTCTGTGTGAATGCTGTCAAAACGGATTGTTTAAGACTATTTTCTGTCCAGATCAGATGCTAGTTATTCATAAGGATAGTGTAAATCAGGAAAATGCTCCATTATAGCCACTAGATAGCGCTGACAATCATAGTAAATAATAATTTAACATTTAATCTCCAAACACGAAAGGTTTCTTCACAGTAAGAGCTGTGAAAATGTGGAATAGACTCCCTCAAGAGTTGATTCTGGCCAGCTCAGTGAATTGCTTTAAAAAAAGACCTGGATTGTTTCTTGGATACACAGAATATAACATTTATAGGTAAAGTTGATCCAGGGAATATCTGATTGCCTCTCGGGGGATCAGGAAGGAAGTCTTTCCCCTGCAGAAGCAAATAGGATCATGCTTTGCTGGGGGGGGGGATCAACTGTGGGTGTAGCATTATAACTTTTTTTTTTTTATGGTAGAACTGGAAGGACTTTTGTCTTTTTCAGCCAGACTAACTATGTAACTATGTAATTTGATTTTGCTGGCATTTGTACCAAGGTACATGTAGGCCACATAGCTCTGCAATTTCAGCCAAAATGTTACCTCCTAAACTGGTTGTAAAGTCCAAAAGTTTTTTGATGTTAATGCATTCTATGCATTCTATGTACCTCTATTGCTTACCTCTGCTTTTAGACTTCTTAAAGCGGAGTTCCAGCAGAAAAATAAAAAAAATTAAAAAGTCAGCAGCTACAAAAACTGTAGCTGCTGACTTTTAAAATACAGCCACTTACCTGTCCCTTGCTCCAGCGGTGTCCTCACCACTGCTGGTTTCATCTCTCCCTGGTGCCGGCATCTTTGGTGTGGGCACCCGGCTGTGACAGCTTGCAGCTTCACAGCCGGGTGCCCACTGCGCATGTGCGAGAAGTGCTGCGCTTTGTGAACGGTCCCATAGTCTTCTGGGACCTGTCACGTGTCCCAGAAGACTACGGAAAGGGAGGACAACTTCTGCTTCTGATTGCCTAGGCGATCACAGCAGAAGTGGGAGTGGGTACCTGTCAAATTTGGGTACCCACCCACCCCCCAGCTCCCCAAAGGTGCCAATCCTAAATGGGGAGTGGGGGACAAAGCATTAAAGTGGAACTTCCTCTTTTGGGTGGAACTCCGCTTTAAATTCACTTTCCTCGTTGACTCCAATACATTTCTTTAAAATCTCAACATTTTGCAGAAATCTCACTCACAGTGTTATAGAATATTAAAGTGTAATAAAGAGATAGCTCTGATTTACTGACTGATAAACTTTGCAATCCCTGTTGCTAAGTAATCAGCAGTGGAAAATCTGTGTTATTTGTGTTATTATAAAATGCAAAAAGAACATGCTGGAAAATGATTGTGCTCAGGTGTGAATGCAACCCTAGGGCTCTTGCACACGGGATGGCTGAGCCTATATAGTATCATTGTAGCCATATTTCCTCTGCATGGGCAGCCAGGTGCAGTGTACAGCCTGTTGTAAGCACAAAAAGTATAGCATAGGGGCATATGCAGAACAGTGGCTTA